ACATCAGACCACCAGACTAAACAGGGAGCTTCAGAAAGTGAGACAGCCTTAAACCATTGTCGTCAAGTCAAATTCCGACTCAGTGACCCCATGTGTTATGGAGTAATACTGAGCTCCATAGGGTTTTCTTGGCCGTAATCTTTACGGAAGAAGACTACCAGGCCTTTCTTCTGTGGCATCACTGGATGGGTTCAAACCTCCAACCTTTAGGTTAGTAGCCAAGCAAACCCAGGGACCTTAGACAGCCTTAGGGGGCTTGAAAACTCTCCACACTAGGGTTGACCGCAGGCTGTGTAAATGCACAACAGAGACTAGAGTGGGCTCAAGCCACCTCCACATCTCTGGTCAACAGAGCCTGTCCACCTGAACAGAAGAGACATAAGAGAGCACAGAAGGGTCTGGTGGAAAGTAAAAGCAGAGCAGACCTGAAAAGGGCCTGAACTTTTTTTTTAATAGTACTTTAGGTGAAGGTGTACAGAACAAATATTTTCTCATTAAACAGTCAGTACACATATGGTTTTATGACATTGGTTAACAATCCCACGACATGTCAACATACTCCCTTCTTGGCCTTGGTGGACCCATTTTTTTTTTTTTTTTTTTTGGTGAAGATATACATAGCCAAAGATACACCATTCCAAAGATACACCATTTCAAAAATTTCTACATGTACAATTCAGCTACTTAAATTATGTTCTTCCAGTTGTGCTGCTATTCTCACTTTGGATGAAGGTTTACAGAGCAAAATAGTTTCTAATTAAACAGTTAGTACACATATTGCCCTATAACAATGGTTAAGAACCCCACTACATGTCAACACTGTCTTTACTCAACCTTGGGTTCCGTATCACCAGCTTTCCTGTCCCCTTCTGCCTTCTAGTCCTTGTCGAAAGGGCCTGAACTTTGAATGCACTCCCCAGCCCATTAACAGATACATCAGCAGAGAGTCGAAGCCTCAATGGCTTGAGGTGATCGAGCACAATCTCTGATCAATAAGATACGCAGACACAGGCCGACTTCTAGGAAGCCACACTTAAAAACAAGGGGAGAAAAACCTGAGCAGAGGCATCAGCGACTACACATTGCAGGAGAGAGACACATCAGTTTTAATCCAGGCAAGTTACTAAATAATAACAATTATGTTTATATGTGAAAGAGAGAGAGAACCCAGAGTTGCTACAGTTTATTTTCTAAAATGTCCAGTATCCAATAAAATGGTAGATCACCTATGGAAATGGCAGAACTAAGGTATGGCGGAGTGATTTTGCACTATGAGTCTCCAACAAAATGGTCTTACTAACCCAAGGTGAATAAGGACTCACTGTTCTATTCTCTGTGTGTACATATATATTTGACATTTTCCATCATAAAATGTTTTAGAAGGATCTTCTAATAGCCTAACTCAAGGGACATTTTAAACTTCTTGTCTCAGCAGACCCCCCTGCACCATTTCATGCTGTTAATTATTCCACTTTTCCTAAACTCTCCACTCCTTGGATTTCATGGCATCAGACTCTCTAGATTCTCTTCCTACTTCTCAGTTTGGTTCTTCTCAGTTTCATTTTTGTCCTCTGCCCGCCCTTAATGTTGATGTTCCCCACATTCCATTGTCAGCTTATTTCTCCCTCTGGATGATGGCATCCACCCTCGTGCTTTCCTTTACCATCACCCCTTTGCTATGACAATGATCTACAGCCTACCCCCCAATCCCACCCAATCTTTCCTCCTTTCCTCTCAACCTTTCCCGGAATAAAGAATATTCTTTCTCTCAGTTGGTGTCACCCAGTCACCTAAACTAGAAACCTCAAAATTATCCTGGCAGACACTCTTTCTCTCCACAGGGCTGACTGAATACTTAGATACTATCAGTCAACAAGATTTCCCATTTTACCTTCTAAATACTAGCTGAATGTTTCCTCTTCTCCTTCCCTATTATCCCTGTCCTAGTTCAGTCCCTCATGCTCTCCTGATGGAACCATTGTCACAGCCTCCTTCATAACCAGTCTCCCTGCCTCCATACAGCCACCACAATGATCTTTATAAAACAGGAACCTGGCTCCTCTAGTTGGACTTACTATCACCAACCACAGTAATTCTCACAGTTGGATAAATTGTGGGACACCAGCTTGATTAAAGTATCTGTTGTAATATTACTTAAACAAAATTAAGCACAAATGCCTAGTGCTTATAGAGATTATTATACAAGGTCCCTGGGTGGCATAAATGGTTTGGGCTTGACTACTAACATAGTTTGGTAGTTTGAACCCACCTTGCTGCGCAGTAGATGGAAGGCTTGGCAACCTGCCTCGGTGAAGATTCCAAACCAAACTCATTGCTATCAAGTCGATTCCGACTCATAGCTACCCTACAAGACAAAGTAGAACCGCCTCCGTAGGGTTTCCAAGGAGCGGCTGGTGGATTGGAACTGCCAACCTTTTGGTTAGCACCCAAGCTCTTAACCACTACGCTAAAGATCACAGCTAAAAAAATCCTATCGAGCACAGTTCTACTCTGCAACACATGGGGTGGCCATTAGTCAGAATTGACTCCAAGCCAACAGATTTGTTTTTTTTAATAGAGTTTATACAACTGTAGAAGGAGCCTGGGTGGTGCAAGCTGTTTGCCAGGGGCTGCTAACTGAAAGGCTGGTGGTTGAAACCCCAGCCAACTCCTGGGACAAAAGACCTGGAAGGCTGCCTCCATAAAGATTATAACCAAGAAAACTGTATGGTTCAACTTTATGCCATGAATCAACGGCAGCTAACAACAATTATAGAAAGCAAATTTACAAGTTAAATCATTGTGCATGTTAATATTAATTTACTGTGATGAATGAGCTTGTTTTGCTGAGACTAAATTGCCTCTGGAAAAATGGATATGATGCACATGCCCCAGGGACAGGTTCTCGAGATCAGCCTGTGTCCACTCCTGTGTCTACTCGGCTCTGGGAGGATGTTAATCTCTCGCTGTTCTTCTCTCTCCAAACCTCTGCGAAAACTTCCCTTGTACAGTGCCCAAAGTCAGCATCTGGCCTTCTCTTGACCCTAACGCATCATTTATCATTTAAGAACACCTTTATTCTTTTCACATTACCCTTGGCAATTAGAATTTCTTGGCTCCAACTCTCATAAACGTGTGACATGACTCCGTTAGAAGGCGATCATCCACTGATGCGGGCTATGCTTGTAGTAATTTTCTGTATTTTACCACAGAAATAAAAGTACAGTACTTTGAAATTCTTGAAGAGAATTCATCCTTGCTCCCTCAGGCTCCTTCTCAAGCCTGTTGCCACTCCCGAGGCCGGTCACCACCATTCGGCCTCTAGGCGGCAGGCTGCTCACAGACGCCCAAAACCGCTCGCCGGGGAACCGTCCACCGGGATCTAGTGACGTCACCCAAGCCCTGGCGATGATTGGCTATTTCTTGATGACCCGCAGAGGGGGTGGAGAGCCAGCAGCAGAACCGGAAGCGTAGGGTACGGCGAGTGCAAAGTGTCCCAAGCAAGTGCGTGCGCACTCAGAACCCGGTGCCGACTTAAAGGGCCAAGTGCAGCTCCTCCTCCGGCCTGAGGGGGCAGACTGAATTCCTACGGGGTGGGGGACAGAACCTGTTGAGAGAGGTCACACTGTTAAGGGCTGTGCCACACTGAAGGGAGGAGTCATTTTGAGAGGAAGGGTCACAATGCCTGATGGAGTCACTCTGAGAATTGGGGGTCACAGTGCGTGGGAGGAACAAGGAGAGGGTGTCGCCCTGCGGGGTTCTGGTACACCCTGAGGGTGGCAATGTCGTACTGAAGAAAGGCCCCTCTGAAGAGGAGGGCCTCACTGCGGAAAAGAGGGGTCTTGGAGGGGAAGGGTGCTTTGAGGGAGCGAGGTCTTGCTGAGGGGTGGGGTCTCGCGGAAGGAGGGGCTTCCCTGAAGGCAGAGGGTTATTCAGAGAGTCGTTTGACCGAAGCAATAAGAGGGGAGGTCCAGGCTGGGTGGTCAGTAGGTGGAGGCACGGGAATCTAAACTTTATTCGGGTCAGGCGGGATGGAATGAGAAGGAGTCAGGGCCACGCAAGGTATGGGCTGGCCAAGGGCGCCCTACAACCCCGGGGCATCCCAACCGCCAGAGAAGGTAGAAGGTGTCAGGGAGTCCAGAGGTTTAGGGGGTAAGGGTCGAAAAGACCTGGAAATGGGCAGAGGCTGGGAAGGTGTGCAGGTTGCTGGGCTGCCTCTGATTGTGGCTGAGCCTGAAGGGTCTACTTTTCTGCCCTGCTGGTCCGCGGAGCCCAGGAATGGGGCAGCTTCCTGACCCCGACCCTCAAAAGGCAGTGACCTGAGGGTGGAAGGGGAGAAAGGACAGCTAAAAGACATTTGAGAGTCATGTACCCACAATCAGCCCTTAATTCCCTTCGGTTATTCAAGTTCGGGCCTGAACTGATTTGACCCCAACGCCCAGACCCACTCGCCTAGGGCGACGCGACCACCAGTTGGGGTGTGCGTACCTGAGGGGGCGTGGCCGCCGCCGGGAGGCGGGCTCGAAAGAGTTAAGCGCAGGCCCGGCCCAGCCCCGCCCCCGGCAGGCCGCGG